GTATATTTTTTTGTATTAATTACGATTGTGATCATCCCATTTATCGATTACATAGAAAATATTTCAAGTCATTCGAACATTATTCTTTATTTAGATTGATATTGAATAATCGATCTAAAAGGTCGTATTATAATTTATTATTCACTTAATCATGTACCTTACGTTTCACATTTTACAGTTTTTAATTAAGGAACATCAACTAGTGACGTAAACGCGTTCCTCATGAGACAAAAACTACTAATGAGAACTCCCGCGGGACTATCACAGCAGAGTAGACATACACAGCTGTGGAAATTGTCAATAATCTTGATATCGACAAAGTATTCTAAGCTATATATTGTTAAACTGTGAAAGTAACTAAAATAAACAAATATAGTGGGCGGGATAGGATAAGTAAAAATGTAAGGTGATATAGAAAGCACGTCAAGCTGCTCACGATGAGCCGTTATTACCGTAAACGCCATAGAGTTGAATTTAAATCTTAAAGTACTGAAATAAAATATATTTTAATTCTTATTTAAACGGCAAACCACATGTTTTTGGGCCCTTTTAAAATATCTGCTCACGAGTGAAACTTATTTATTAAACAGAAGTTAATTAATATAAGGGCTCAGATGATAACTATAGTACCTATATAGGGCTCGTCTTCTACCCGTAACCATTCCGAAATATAATAGTTCAAAGTTACGAATTTTCCCAAGGCTCAAATGAAACTTGTAGAATCGGTTAGCTTACTCAAAAGCTCAGCTCCAAACCATAATGATTTCATGATAATAGAATAGAGTTAAAAGTTGAAATCGCGTTTTCTTATAAAATTCATAGCTTTGAACGATTATATCTCGCAACGGTTATGGTTTAGACCAAGCTGCCATGGTATTTTTTGTTTGTATGAATACATCCTACATAATAAATCATTTCATTTAACACACTCGCCCGTACAAATCGTCCAAAGTTCTTTTTAGTGAATTTGAAATGTGTTTGATAGGATTTATTACTTATTTATGCTAGGTATATTGAAAGTCTAACTATATTGTTTAGTTTTGCATTCTCACTCGTTATGAAATGAGGCTAGAAGTATACGCGAACTATTTGTTCAATATTCCATTGTCTAATCATCGACACTGAATATGAATAACTTCTCATTTCTGGCAAATCCATTGGAATCGAATTTAATTTGACAAAAATTGCATTTTACCTGATTTCTTACGCACATGTCTTAATATGTTTCGTTAAACATTTTGGCAACAGTCATTTCAAGCTCCTAGTATGATCGGCCATGACTATGGGCGGAGCAGATCAGCAGACTTTTTTTTTCTTTTTTTTAATGCACACACTCAACATAGCCCCGCACTAGGGAAAACCTGTGTCGCGGGTGCCATGGAAACACACATAGACAACCACAAATTACACCCAAACTCACGAGAGAAATAAATGTAGGCCATATAAATATTTCTCCCGGCCCGGGATTCGAACCTGGGACCTTTGCGTGGCAGTCCGGCATGGTAACGGACCAAATTGCAGGACACGTAGGCAGTTAGAGACGTGCTGATATTATATGGAATAGTTTGGGGTAACATCATTTACCTAAAATTTTGACTCAAACTATCTTGCTTGTAGGTTGATGATACGAGTATATAGTAGTTGACCGTAGACTAATTCTTATCCTGCCATCTGCGAGTCAGGTGCTTCCTCGAATATATGCCAGTTCATGACAAGACTCTTTATTTTCTCTGATGCGTGAGGTCTCTCATCGTTTTTAACGTGACAGTATGTAAAGAAAATATATTTTGTCGAGGCTTACTTTTTTTTTATTACCCGAAGGAATCTGCTTGCAGTTACCCCGACCCTGCGTGGCCAGCGCCGAGGTTAGGTGGGACTGGGCTGAACCCTGAAGGGGAACAACCCGACCGCACCAAACCCCCGGGGTGTTCCTCCTCTCCGCTGTAGCTAGAGGCACAGGTACGCTATCGCTCGTCCGCGCCTCCACCAGCCCCTCCCCGAGAAGGGAGACACAACGGTCCCCCCATTCCAAATGTAAAGCTCGCCGAACACCAGACGAGCCTTCCATCTTGGGTCCCTCCAAGCTGGGCAGCGTACTGCCCCGAGTCCGCTACCCAGGGGCCAACATCTCTCTCTGTCTCTCTGTGTGTAGAGACACCTTTGGAGCGCCCACCGCATGGGCCAATCGCCCAAATTCGGCCGCGGAGGACAGGACGAGCGGCAACGATGCACCGACGCGTCTCTTCCCCCGCGACCCTCTTCCCCGCATGCGTCCACGCGGACCCGCTCGGCCTAGATCAAGACGAGCCCGCGCGTACGCCCTCCTCCTCCTCCTCTTAGCTTCACCGTGGGATGAAATCGACCACGGCTACTAGAACCCCCCGCTACGACAAGGCGGGTAGGGGTATTGAGGCATACTTGCGTTATGAATTACATGCCGTTTTGTTCGCGTTGGTGTTACCTCATGCGATAATAGCACATTGGACATAGCCACATGGACCGTCATCACTCGATAGCAGATTTATCTCCTCTACATCCTCGTTCAGGTCGATCTGGGAGAACCTTTGTCCTTGCCGGAAAGTATTGGCGGAGGTGGAGGATTATGGGACATCCCCCAGTACATTTTAATCTATGGTGGTATATTCATGGTCAGTTTGACCCAAACCTGAAGTAAATCAAATCCAGCTGAAAGCAAAGCATTCAATCGGTCCTCTGCCTACTATGAATGCTTCTCGGAGACACAATCACTGACTATTTATTTGCTAGTCTGTTGGTTTTGGAGCATAATGACCTGTTTATCTCGGTCTAACTGCCTCTGGTAGGGACAAGCAAGGGGGGTGAGATTTTAGATCTAGGAAACGGTCTGGGTCCGCATACTTACCACCTCCATCTTAGCGAACTCGTCTCTGTAATCTTCCATTGACCATATTTCAGCGGTTGATTGTACTTACGAGAACAACTAAGTGTTAAAACTTGTAATTTGGCTAGCTGCAACTGACTTAAGTTTTACGGTCCCACTTTGTAGAATATAATTTATAGATTATCTTATTGGTCTTATTTATGACTGTTTAAACCTTCACCTATGCGAAACGATCCTATGGCGTTATATACAAACGGTATTGCTGTAATCTGATAATGTTGTCTCTTCTGGTATAGTCATATTTGCCTTATTTACCAAATATTTGTAAATTTTTTCTTCAAATAACGTTGTGTATTTTTTATTGCGTTCGCCGTGTTTGACGAAATATTCGGGTATGCTCAAATATTAAATATATAACCATCCATACATGGTGCCAAACAGCAAGTAACGAATAAGTAACGTGTTCGCACCAAGTGTGGATGTGTTTGTATCTTGCCTATTTTTATGCGATGCGTCCAGGGGCCTCATCCTCATACACATTAATACATTTTATTACCATTGGCTGGTGTTACTTCATTAATGAAAACTCTACGCAATACTGCGATATACAAGAATTATGCCCAAATAATTTTATGGTCTGCACAGTTTGTGCATCGGCTTTGAATGGCGAATATCACAGTTAGCTCAGATTTATGTTTTTTGCCGGGTCCAAGTGACGAAACGTGAATAATAAACGAGATGCACGCAAAGATCGTAACTAATAGTTTAAATATTTTTGTGATTATCAAAGGAAATATTAAAAATTTCGTGGACGGATAGAATGTTTAACGAAAGAATATTGAAGATGGTGAGTAAGAAATTGGAAGACTGTCAAAAAATGAAAGCTACGGTACTTCGGTTGTACGAGTATAATGCGCAATGATAAATGCACCTGTTCCGACTAATTATGCAAGGAAAAAATAAAGGAAAACGACCACCTAAAAGAGGCGATCTTCGTGGCTTATGAATCTCCGGACATGATTTAACCTGAGCACAAAATTCTACTTCCAGGCAGTTGTGTCTAAATTACAGATAGCCCTGATGATAGCCACCTCAGGTAGGGGATGCCGCCTTAAGAAGAAGAAGAAAGGAAGGCATAGATCGCGACCAACTGTGATTAGATAATTTATTACATATTCCATTAATGTGACTGGTGTCGGATAGCCGACAAATTCACAAATATACGTGTTGCCTATTTGCGATCTTTGTGAAATAAGCAAATATTTTATCAAACAAACATTGGTTCAAAGCCATGTGAAGTGCCTTCATTAGTTTTAGTGTCCGAATGTTTGCTAAAGAGACAAATAACAGTATTCTACATCAAATAAAGTGCCACCGTGAGTACGAGCTCTTTTTTGCTGGGAAACTGTAATAGAATTATTGAGGGTCTTCAGTTTTGTGCTCACAAGATTTATTTATTTATTTGTTTGTTTGTTTGTTCGTTCGTTCCTTCGTACGTTCGTTCGTTCGTACGTTCGAACGTTCGTTCGTTCGTTCGTTCGTTCGTTCGTTCGTTCGTTCGTCCGTCCGTCCGTACGTTCGTTCGTTCGTTAGTTCGTTCATTTAACATTTGCAACTTAACAGGCAAAAGTCCAAATCGCTACAAACACGAACAACGAAAATAAAAATAGAAAATTAAATAAAATTAACATAATACATTTCACAGACCTGAGCTTACAGGCATCATTTGTTCAAATACTTTCCTACATTCACTCATCAGACATCCAATCTTGCTATCAAATAAATCAGTATGTGGTGCCGCCTCGAGAACGCAGTTGAAGAGTGTGATAGCGCGCAGCACCGGTGTGCAAGTGCAGCAAGATGGCGACACATTGACGTGAATTCCAGTGAAATGTTGTTTCTGAAGATATTTCTAATAACTAACTTAAGCATCCAAGCAGATTCGTATAATTACAACTTCATTATAATATACGCTTACTTATCAATCTCATTTTTAATAAGATGTTTAAATAATCTTTTATATGACAAAAGGTACATGCGTAATAGGCACACAGTCGTTCACAACAAAAAACCAAAACTCTTTGTTTGTCGAAGAACCGCTATAAAAATTAAATTATACTTTTCAAATAAATAACAATATTTTATTGCGCCTTGTTACTAAAAAATCAGGATTCAGATATTATAAATATTTATATTGATTTCGAAACCTTGAATTCAGAGTGTTAATGTATTTTATCAAAATGGATGTCTACTTCCGGTGTTGACCCTGTACATGCCGCTTCTGAAATAAAAGCAAAAGTAATCTATTAGTGTCTAAGCTTTTGCCTTGTTTAACATCAATGTATCAGTGACGTCAGCAAATTATGTACGGCACTCTATCAACTACTAAACTTGTACACGAACCTCCTTCACCTAATCCGTAAAAAATGCAGTTTTGTTTTGAAACCAAAATAAATTTCCTTAATATACGTGGTTTATTATATTTATATTACGTTCAATCTTACCCCGTTTTCCTTAGATTGTCGTTACCCAGTTGAAGTGTATCCGAAGTACATAGGTCTGTGGTGACCTGGAGCATAGTAAGGCACCGTCTTCCAAACAAGTGACCGTGAGTCACACTAACTGCGAACAGTTCCCAAGCGCGATCGTGGTTGCAACGGGTAGTAACCAAACATCCTGGTTGGTAAAAGCCGCCGTTAGGGAAAAAGTCCACTTGGACGATGGGCAAACCAATGCCCAATACACCTCCGTCTGTATGGATTGCCTCAACGTAGACACCATCATCAGCGTTCAAACGCTCATTGTTGTAGTTCCATAGAGGGCCAGAAGGATCCAATCCTGTGTGGACAAGATATTATTATATGACATTATTTATTATTAGGCGTCGTGAAGAAAAACACAATGAGCAAAAAAATTAAAGAAAAAATCTCACCAGTAACACGGGCAACCCTGCCACCAGTTTCTCTTCCAGCGTTACCCACGACGTGAGCACCTAAACTAAAACCTACCAAGTGCATCTGATCAAATCTGGCTCCCGTTACTCTATTCAAAAAGATAAGGAATTGCCCAATTCCGCGTCCGACAGCGGGTACTCCGTTAACAGCCGTCACATAGTCGCTAAAAGCAAGCTCTCTCCACTCTACACTGATGACGTTTACTTCAGACGTAGACAGGAAAGCTAAAACGTAAAACGTAAAAGTATAAGATTTTATCTGCAAAACCAATAAAATATTTTTAAGGCGATTATACCTTGCCTCAAAATTGATGTTTGATTTGGTATATTATAAATGCAGTTTTATGTCTGATACACATGCAAGTATTCGCGATTATTGATCATTATCTGGAGCACATCAATTTGGGAAACTGTTTCTTACCGCTTCGAACTGTAGGGTTAGGCTCAGATTCTCTGCTGCTGATCCAACCATGGACAATTACTATTGTGGGATCATTCGGGTTGAAGTTCGAGTTTATAATCGAATTTTCATCGTTCATCACAAGAGTTTGAGAAAAGATTTGATTACGTCTGAAATATAAATAAGTATTTACGTCAGTAGCTACGTTTTATGAATAAACAACATATGGTGTCCAGTCTATATCCGACAAAGGACTAAATGTTATTGTTGAAATTTGAATACAAAGTAAATTTCTATAAAATTTAACCGATAACTCAACTGGTTTTAAACAAACATTGAAACAAATTACAAACTTGAACCCGGTTTCGCTGGAAAGTATCATATGATATGTTTGTAGGATTTTAATAAATCCACAATTAGTACGTACCTTCCCCACTAGAGGTATCATCCTTTTCCTGCGCCTTGGGCAACAATCGGCGAGTCCCCTACGCCAATTGGCAAATCGTTTTACCGCGATGGCAAGCGTTAAATACGGTGTATACCATCGACACGATAAGAAGAAGAAGTACCTACCTAGTGTACAATAAGTAGACGTTATTGTTAGGGTTTCTTGTGTGTTCTTCGATGGCAGCCATGTCGGGTTCCGCCTCTAGATCGACTAAGTGCATGTTGCCTTCATCATCAGGTATTTCTATGAAACGCGAATAAACATGTTTCTGTCTCTGTTCTTCTACAGGCAACGCCGAAGCGATGTATACTGTGAAAATTATAAATTTTATATAGATTATTTTTTCTACATAAGGTAGAATCAGAATTCCTCGTAGTTTTATGGTGCTACCGTACATACCTGTCGCAACTAAAACCAGGAAGAAGACCTTCATTATGTTGGGTGCACGGGGTCTGCCAATATCCACTTCAAAGTACGAACTACCAAATCACTGTTTATATATCATTTCTTGATTATTAATTGGCTTATTTTTATCATTATTTTTTTGCTCATTAACCTGATACTAAAGCTGAAATTTATACCTCTTAGTATCTAGAATTAGACTCTGACATGTATCGCAATTACTCAATCAAGTATTAAATAGAATTTATCAACACACGACATTGTATTCACGTAGTATTTTTTTAGGGTTATGTGGGAAAACTAGGTACATTTGTGGTCATATAGTCGCTAGAAGCAAGTTCTCTCCACTCTCTAGTGATGACGTAGACAGGAAAGCCAAAACGTGAAACGTAAAAGTATAAGATTTTATCTGCGAAACCAATAAAATATTTTTAAGGCGATTAAGTACCTATACCTTGCCTCAAAATTGATGTTTGATTTGAATATTATAAGTGTAGTTTGATGTCTGCTACACATGCAAGTATACGCGATTATTGATCAATATTTGGAGCATTTCGATTAGGGAAACTGTTTCTTACCGCTTCAAACTGTAGGGTTAGGCTCAGATTCTCTGCTGCTGACCCTTTGTATTCAAGTAATATTTTAGGGTTGTGTGGAAAACTAGGAATACTTTTTGTACAGTCAGTTCTGTTGATCTGTTTGCCATTTCTGCAGTCTATTTGTTTCAACATTATATTATTACTCTGCTTATTGTATTGATATTTATGCGTAATTTGCATGAAGTATTTATACTACTTTAAGCGTAGGTTAAGATGTAAGGAAGTAAATAAAACAATTTTTAGAAGTAAAAAATAATTTTTGAGTGATTGTTGTTGTGCAAACTGCGCATAAAGAAAGTTTTAACTGAACAATATTCGAAATAATTTCTTCCCCTACGTACATACGCTTCGTGTTAATATGAAAAATAAACAATTATTAGCATTTCGTAGTTCGTTACACCGTAAATATCTAACTATAATCATAATATATGAATAAGTACACTATGACATATACATTTGTTCGGACCCCGGTGCATTTACATAATTGTTGCTTAGAAATTAAAAAATTAATTTCAAATAAGTCTTATTAATATGTTTAAATACTCACGTAAGCTACACGTATTTAAATTAGTTCAATAATTTTCTGGGTACAGTGTACTAACGCTGTATCCAAAGTAGATTAATAACTAATATTCAGGTGAAATAATAACTAGAGCATGGAATTGCTTCAATCTACATACATACACACATGTATATGCAAACTGATTGGTAAATCAAAAGTTGAGGCTATATAACATGAGGTATTTAAAAAAAAGCGTCATTAAGGTTCATACTCGCTTTCTCTGACGAATGTTGTTTCTAAATCGCATTTGAGTGATAGGGTACAGAGGATCGATGTCAACGGTACAAGATCATCAGGGTTTACAATTAGCGTGGACGTCTCAAAGGGTACTATGGTCCCAGTAGCCTAAAGGAGGCAGTAGAATATGAAATAGTATTGTTTGCTGATGTATCTTCCTTATTTAAAGTTAAATGATACCAATGTTTCTACAATCATGTGAACAATGCTATTTCTAAGATAATAACTTGCTACTTAGTAAGAAAAAAACAAATTGTTTGAAATTTACATTGTTAGACAGACAGACACAAATATAGAAAAAAAATGAACTATGTTGGATCTTTAGGTATGACTTTAAATACTAAATTACAGTGGTGTCCTCAAATAAGTATATAAGCTATGGAAACGGCTTAGCTCTGCAGTGTATGCGATAAAAAACATACGAAAACTTAAAAAAAACTACATTATTTAAATTTGGCGAGCGTTTTCGATGCTTGAGAGGACTCTCGAAATGATGTAGGCATTTTTTGTGATCTGTCAAAAGGCTTTGATTGCATGGATCATGCAACCTTGTTGATTAAGTTAAATATTATGGATTTAGAAATGTTATTCTGGAAATGATGTTCAGAAATGAGAACAGGATTCAGAAAGTAGAAGTAAATGGGGCTAGGTTTTTGGGTTCAAAAGTCAAGATGGGAGTACCGCAAGGATTAATACTTGATCGTTTTTTGTTTTTAATAATACAAATGATCTGCCGTTTATGGTTCAAGATTTGACTAGAATTGTATTGTTTGCTGTTGATACATCTTTAATATTTAAAGTTGATAGAAAAGACGATAAACTTAACGAAGTTAAGCTCTTCAGTTAGTCCACACTGGTTTACTGCTAATAATTTGGTACTCAACACGAAAAACACTAAATGTATTAATTTTACCTTTCCAAATGTTAAGAAGTTAGATTGTAATATGCTACTAGATAGTAATACGTTAGATTTCGTAGACGACACAATGTTTTTAAGCATTGCTATAGACTCTAAACTTCAATGGAGATCCCATATAAAATGTTTAGCTGGTACATTAAGTTCGGCATCGTACGCTGTTTGAAAAATAAGGCAGCTAACGGATGAAGCTACGGCAAACGTAGTTTACTTTAGTTGTTTTCATAGCGTTATGGCCTATGGCATATTGTTTTTGGGAAGAGAATCAAATCTTTTAACTCTACCAAATCAATTTATATTTGAAAATATAATGTACAGTCATATACATGAAATATCTGATCCCCTATCATGCCCAGACCGACTTTTTGGTTCTGAGAGCCATCTTACGTATTGATTAAAGAAAGGAGTTTCAACTTTATCGCATATGCAATACAGTGGAGTGTTGCTTGAAGATGATCAACAAATTTTTAAAACCTATCCTATTTTTCGTCATTTAACATCCAAGTAAATTGGTCGAGCGGCTTGTTGTGTGTGTCGTGGTTCGATTTCTCGAGCACTATTTTGTTTTAACGTTATATTTTTAACACCATTGTTCACTTTTTAATGTTAATGTTGACAAATCACAATATTTGCTCACTAGAAATTGCCTAGGTGGGTGGGTAGATATTATTAATAAAGCGTAAGGTGGGTATGGATAGATTAACAAATCACGAAACCGCTCTGCAGTTTGCATACGATCGTGTCTTCTGTGATTACGCATTGTTCCACGTTTCGTTCCCATTTATCAATTCAGTTTTAATTACTTTCAAAGTATTCTTTCTTGTTTTAATATGCCGCATTTAACGGAATTATTAAAATTAGAAATTATTGTTCTGTTTAAACAGATGTGCCAATCATAGAAATTGCAAGACGACTTCATTTGGCGGTAAGTAGACTCATTATACATATTTTTCATAGTGCTGCAGGTGCATCCTTAATTATCCCACGGGTGTTATAAAACATGTTTAACGAATCATTAAAATTAAAAAATATATAAATCTAGCATTAGGTGAAATTCGAAACTACAATTATAACAGCCTTATTATACAGTATTATAAACTGCTTGTTCACAGAGAAACACTGTCAAGCTATGGATCAATCGCCACAGAGCGACTGGAAATGTGCAATGTAATCTGGGGCTAGCACCGGTAAAGTTTACTTCTGCATCTAGTCGTTACCCAGATATTGCCAATCGCCATATTGCAGATCCCTTTGCCACTACAAAAACAACTGCTCAAATTCATGAAATAAGTACCAGGAAGAAGGACCTTGTGGTGTCAATGTGGGAGTCAATGCGTGGCGGAGGTTTATGCTGGTCGATGGTCACAGGCATGAAAGACCGTTTACAACATCTATCTATTGAGCGGACTATAGAGATATCCTGCATAGAGCTTGAACGGCTTGTTATATTAAGCGTGTACAGACCCCCTCATTCATCTTACGAACTATTTGAAAAAAGATTAGATGAAGTTTTAGCCAAATTAAATAATATAAATAAATATATTGCTGTTTGTGGTGACTTCAATGTTAACTTATTAGAAGATTCCAGTGCTAGCAGTAGGCTCATATCATTTTTCCAATGTTATAACCTTGTGAATCTTTTTTTGGTGCCTACTAGAATAACTTCTACTACTGCCACTTGTTTAGACAACATTTATACCAACGCCGTACCTAGTAATAAATCTATTATAAATAAATTAACTTCAGATCACTGCGGTCAATTGGCCACTTTTAATATAACTGTTGACAAAATGCCGAAAAAGGATATCACATGTGTTCCGATAAATAATGGTCGACTTAAAGCTTATAGAAATAACGTAATGCTTAAACTAACTGACATTCCGTACGTTAACGATCCCAATAAATTGTATAATTCAGTTTTCAACATAGTGAAAAGTGAACGTGATAATGTTTTTAAGTCCAAAATCATAACTATTAATAATTCATTGAAATTTAGTGAATGGGCGACTGTGGGAATTCACAAAAGTAGACAAAGGCTGTATGATCTTTACGATGAAAGAACTTATAACACTAGTAACAGTTTTAATGATTTTGTTAGGAAATATTCGAAAATGTTTAAACGTGTTTGTGTGGCAGCCAAAGCAATGTTTATTAATAATAAAATAAAAAGCAGCGCGAATGTAGTAAAAACGACTTGGAATATTATAAATAGCGAAACTGGAAGGGTCAAACCTCGTAACTTAGATTTTCAACTAAGATTTAATGACAAAATTGTAAACACAGACGCAGAAGTTGCTAAAATATTTGAAAATTTTTTTACCAACATTCCAATTTTGACTACTAATTCGTTAAATTCATCTCCCACGGCCGCTGAATCCTTACTAAAAGAAAATAATGCAGTTAGTATCACTAATTTAAGGTTCCGTCATGTATTTCCAAACGATATTGTTAAGGCCTTTAAGTCTATAAATATAAAAAATACTGCTGATCTTGATGGTCTTTCAGTCAGAGTAATTAGTTCTATAGTTGATTGTATTGCGCCTTACTTAGCCTGTGTCTTTAATAAATGTGTTGATGATGGTGTCTTTCCTGACCTCATGAAGAAAAGTAAAGTTATTCCACTTTTCAAATCTGGTAGTATTTCTGACCCCACCAATTTCAGACCTATATCAATACTACCAACTCTCAGTAAAATATTTGAAAAAATTATTCTAAATCAGATGTGTGCACATTTTTATAGTAATAATTTAATGTCTCCTAAACAATTTGGTTTCACTCGGGGTCGCTCTACAACCGACGCTGGTGTAGAGTTGATTAATCATATATTTGATGCATGGGAAGTCTCACATGATGCTATTGGTGTATTCTGTGACCTTTCCAAGGCTTTTGATTGTGTGCACCATGATACACTGGTCAGGAAACTTGGCCATTATGGTGTGGCGGGACGTGATCTCGACCTTCTTAAATCGTATTTGCGTGGTAGGGTACAGAGGGTCGATGTTAACGGTACGAGATCGTCAGGGTCTGTAATTAGCATGGGTGTCCCTCAAGGTTCAATTCTAGGCCCATTTTTGTTTTTAGTTTATATTAATGATTTACCTAGCCTTATGGAGGGTATAAAACATGAGATAGTATTGTTTGCTGATGATACTTCCTTATTATTTAAAGTTAAAAGGCACCAATGTTCCTATGACGATGTGAACAATGCTATATCTAAAGTAGTTGATTGGTTTGCTGTTAATAACCTACTTCTTAATGAGAAAAAAACAAATTGTGTGAAATTTACATTACCCAATGTTAGAGAGACGGTTACAAACATTGTAGTTAGAAACGAAAAATTGAATCTTGTGGATACAGTTGTATTTCTAGGTATAACGTTAGATGCTAAATTGCAATGGGGTCCCCATATAAGTAAGTTGTCAAAACGGCTCAGCTCTGCAGTGTACGCGATTAAAAAAATAAGGAAACTTTCAGACGTCGAAACCGCTAGATTGGTTTACTTCAGCTACTTTCACAGTCTAATGACATACGGCATTTTGCTTTGGGGTAATGCCGCCGATATCAATAGAATCTTTGTCCTGCAGAAACGTGCAGTTAGGGCAATTTACAATCTGGGCCCCAAAGTATCTTTGAGAGATAAGTTTAAGGAAATTAACATTCTTACACTAGCCTCACAATACATTTATGAAAATATAATTTATGTTAAAAGGAATAGTAATTTCTTTATGAAAAATAGTGACAGACATAACATTAATACGAGGAATAAAAATAAACTAGCTTTTCTTGATAGTCGTCTTCACAAAGTCAAACAATCATTTAAGGGGCAATGTATACGCTTCTATAACAAGATTCCGGTTGATATACAAAATTTGCCTTTCACGAGGTTTAAAACTATAGTGAAACAAAAACTTTATACTAAAGGTTATTATACAACTTCTGCGTACTTGGATGACAAAAATCCGTGGTAGTAACCCGTTTAGCTCATGGAGGTAGTCTCAATCTGATGTTTCAAATAAAAAAATATTGTAAATGTTATTTACAAAGAGCAACCCCTAGAGTTTCTTGCTCATTCTTCTCAGGGGAATCTGCCTTACGAATGAGCGGTAGAGTTTAACCATTGTGACGATTTCAAGTGTAATAATGCTTACCTATGAAATAAAGATTATTTTGATTTTGATTTTTTGAAACAAATGATCGATTTTGAAGGTTTTCCTTTGCGGCATTGAAGTGGTAATTGTGTAGTTTTTAATAATAGATACGCTAGACAAAAGTAATGTGAAGTGAAGTGATGTTATTGTTATTTTTATAACATATCTATTCACTGGACTACCGTATAATTTTGTAAAAAAGCAGCCTGTAAAACTATAGTTTGTTTCAATTCATTTTGCATAAAAGATTACCTATATAACATGTTTCAAATAAGATTTTGACACGTTATTCAAATGAATATTATTGGAAAAAGTGGTTCGATATCAAGTTCAATTCTTGAAATATGAATGCGTAAGGTATTCCATTAAATGAATGATTGTTTAAGAGTTTTAACCAAACCGGTTTGTTTAATTTTCATGAAAAATGTATTGACAGTAGCTGTATCTACTTGAAGTAGTATAATTAGGTTTCTAACGTTTTTTCAATATCGATATAATTGTGAGTTTAAAAAATAAAGTAGTTACTGGTACAGGCTGTAAGTATTTTAAATATGTTTACTAATTATAATTTAGAATAATAAAATATTAAAATATTTGTTGAATTACTCAAGGAGGTTACTTTCATTTCATTCACCTATGTTTGTGGGAGGTGGTTCACTTTGAGAATCTAACATTCTTAAACATTCCTTACACCTATCCAGAGGTCAAAAACAAAAAAAAATATTATAAAGTCATAGCTAAATAACATTTTATTTTTAATGTGACACGAACCATGCTTGCCTCAGGTTGCAAAGCAATGCTTATACCGCTAGACCACGATGTCCATAGCTGGTTGAAATTTGTATTCTGTATTTCAGTAAGAACTATACGTTAAAGATCAAATTGGCTTAAAAACTTTCTACAGTGTCATTCACTAATGAGACGACCAGGAGTCATACTGAAATAGATTTCACGGCTCACAGGTTAAAGATTAAGTTGTTTAACAATTTTACCCACATTTATGTGCTCAGAACCTTTTGGTTCTGAGCACATAAATGTCGACAAAGTCGACTTGGCGGTCAGGTATCTTGTGTACATGACGGCATGTTCGCAGAAATATAGCATTATTTCCAAAAAACAGTGATAGGCATAACCTTAATCTTAGAAAAAAAATAAACTTGCGACCCCTGTGCTCAGACTTGATAAAGTTATTTCGTCATTTGTGGGGTACATTGTACAAAATCCATCAGGTTTTTTTAAACATGTACTAATTAGAAAAGCTTATTATAAAATCAATGATTACATAGATGATACGAACGCATGGTACACTTCCAGCTATTGAATGTTTGTGATGATACAAATAAAACATTCTTCATTCAAGTGAAATTGACCTGCTAAGGACTAGTGGTTTTTTGTTTAATGTGACGATGTCAAGTGTAATTTGATTACCTACGAAATAAAGATACTTGATTTTATTTTATTTGTTACATCATTTTGTTTCAAGATAATGCCGCAGATATTAATAGAATTTTTGCCTTTGAGAGACAAGCTTTTTAAAATTGACATTCTTACACTAGCCGTCTTAGTACATTTATGAAAATTTAATTTACCTATGTTAAGAGGAGTAGTCATTTTTCAATGCAATGGCAAACATAACATTAATACGAGGAATAAATATGCAATGTCTGTTTTTGACAGTCATCTGCATAAAGATACAAATTAATCAATGGGGCAATTTATGTGCTTCCATAATGAGATTCCGGTAGATATTCAGAATTTGCGATTTAGATAGCTTAATTATATAAAAGAGAGGTCATTATACAATTTCAACGTACTTAGATGACAAAAATCCATGATAGTGACCCATTTAGCTCGTGCAGGTGGTCTTGATCTATTATATTTCAAATATGTTGTAAATGATAAATAAAAAATGTTTTACATTTGTGTTTTTTTGCCTTACGAAAAAGTGGTAAGGTTTAATCAATGTGAATATTTGAAGTGTAATTTCAGTTAAATGGTGTAATACGAGTATTTAAAACGTGACAACTTAAAGCAGTTTAGTGACTTATAAAATAACATAAGTTCAAATTTCAGTAACAATATTTATTTTATTTATATAAAATATTATAAATATGTAAAAATAGAAACTGATATTATATGAAGCGGCTATTGCAGGCTATTGGTGTCTTCAAATCATGGACAGGTGCAGGTGCGATCAGTAATTTAGTAAGGGTAATTTCTTCCAGTGTTGACACGGAACATTCCAGATCTACAAAGAAAAATCATTTTCTTAATTAATTATTTTAATAATTAGGTTTTTGCGAAATAATCTTTCGTGTTGGTTACATACAGACAGCACATCAAGCTATACACTTTACTATAAAGGGCAACGGAGCAAGATAAATAATAAATAACGCACACACTCAACATAGCCCCGCACTAGGGAAACCCTGTGTCACGGGTGCCATGGACACACACATAGACAACCACAAATTACACCCAAACTCACGAGAGAAATAAATGTAGGCCATACAAATATTTCTCCCGACCCAAGAATCGAACCTAGGACCGGCATGGTAACTGCCTCCGTGGCCGAAGTAACGGAGGCAGTTTCCGAGATCCGTGCATCTGTAGCTTGATGTGCTACCGTCTGTACTTACTGAAGTATAATCTATTGTAATATAATATTTTTAGTGTAATGAATTATTAACATCGCATTACAGGATGTGAAATTTTGAATAGAGCTTTAGGTATGGTGTCCAGAAATATTTTACTAGTGAAGTTAGCTGCGTTTTGTTTTATTGATTTCTCTATTTTTGCTATTTGTAAGTATCAAATTGTTGAATGCAAATTTATTTGAATTTTTCATAATGAAAGTGGAGTAATAATATTACTAAGTATATAGACAGACTGGGCATACTCTTGTGCTTCCAAAATAATACCTTTATTGAAAATGCTGTGCATACCTTCGATTTAAATGCGTGCATAGTACTAGTTAAATGGTTTGTTTTTGTATTTAACGTATCTGTATATATTTCGTGTAAGCCGTTTTTTCCGTCTTTATTGTAAGTTAGGTAGAACCATTCATGCCAGAAGAGGTGATATTTTCATTAAATTAAAATTCTTAGTAGTTATTTCAAACCATCAATCACATTGAAAAAAAAAACACTTACCCAGACTTTCTCAAGTCATTGTTACCCATTGGGAATTCTGAACCCCTGCAGGTGTTCAAACTGACTTGGAGGCTTGAGCTACATTCGTTGGCAATCAAATGATTACGGGTGACAGTGGAAGCAAAAAATCTCCAAGCTCGGTTGTGGTCGCAAATACCGGTTATGCAACCGGGTTGATTGTAACCGCCATTTGGGTAGAAGTCAGCGTCAGCAACATTCCTACCAATGCCGAGACCAATAAGGGTGTTGCCATCGGTGTGAATAGCTTCGACATACACAGCGTCATTGCTGCTAATCTTGTTGCTGCTATAGGTCCATAGCGGACCTGCTGGGTCAAGACCTTTTAAACAAAAACAAACTATAAGTAATACGTCATAAAATATTGTTTCATACATCACAAATATGTTGTTTTATGACGGAAATCCTTTGTGCTTAATAGAAATATTTTTGGCATTATTAGTTGTCGCGTACAGACAGTGATGGCTCCAAAAAAATTTTACTTCGTCGGTACACGTAACACTTTCGTGAACATCACATTGGGGCTAAATCCCAATCCCTTGAATCGATTAATTATATCAGATTTCGAAAGATATGCAATTATTAATGACATTTATGATTAACGAGTTTTCGATTATTTATTATCTCTTATAATTCTACGTTGCCATTATCATATAGAGTATTTAATCGAAATGTAAATAAGCGTTGGTGGTATTAGCTTACCAGATAACGAAATAATGCATTTCGCATATCGAATGTGTGAAATGCCGCCTCTGGTACTCGTGGTGCACAGAATTCCCTGGTGCGCCTAATGGTAAGCTACACGCCTGTCCATAACAGTTGCAGTCCCACTCAGAGCTTTAAATGGCAAAGATCTGAGGGGCACTGCCACTGTGCCCGTCACCCTGAGACATAAGTTAACAACTCCCACGTGGCTGTAATTTATTCAGGATCCTTACCCTTCAAAACCGGAACACAGTAATGCTGACATTATTGCTTGGCGGCAGAAATAGGTAAAGTGGCGGTACTTCCCTGGTCGAGCTCTTTCACAAGGACTATTGCTTCTTGTCTAACACAATATTAATATTATTATAGTAAAATCCACTACTACCATAATTAGATATTAGAATACTAACCGGTAACACGCGCGGCTCTTCCTCCCAATTCCCTACCAGCGTTACCGACAACGTGGGAACCAAGGCTGAAGCCAACCAAGTGCACGTTGTTCAAGCTGAGACCAGTTTCCCTATTGAGGAAGTTGATGAATTGTCCCAATCCTCTACCAACATCAGGTACGCCGCGGGCTGCGGTGACGTAGTCGGATATCGCCAGTCTCCTCCAGTCCATGACGATGACATTAGCGTCATAGCGGCCAAGAACAGCTATAATAGACAATGTATAGAAAATATAGAAAAACCTCTCATAAAGTTGCAACATGTTGAATGATACAATTTTTGAAAAAGTCATACCGTCCCTGACGGTTGGATTGATGTCCGTTTCCTGATTACTGAGCCAACCGTGGACAACCACAACTGTGACCCTGTTAGGGTTGAAATTAGAATTCCTGATGGAGTTGCCATCATTCATGACCAGAGTCTGGGAGCTAGTCGGGTTGGCTCTGAAAAATTACGAAATTCGATTTTAATTAATACATTTATTGGATTTTAAGACCATACTACCTTGGCTAATGACTGTTACAACAAATGATATAATTTAGTAGGGCTATTAAGGTATCAAGATGTCACATTAATTGTTTATTAGTAAGTACTTATAAAATATATTAAACTGTTTTTTACGCGCTTCCTAAATTCATCTGTAAAAAGACTATTCCCGACTGGATTAAGACCCCAAAGTATGACGACACAGGGAAGAATTACTTTCTGTCCCTGACTAGCCCTGCATTGCTCTAAACTGATATCAAGCATGGGATTCTCGCCTGATCACATACACACACTTATACATATGGTACGGTTCGTAAGATGTAACAATAAATGACATATTTTTGGTTTATATAACGCTCAACGGATATAATTAATTTATGGTATACAGACATTTGATTTATTCTTGTCTGATATAAATGTCATTGGATATATTAGACGATTGATACAACAACGTTTTAAAGCTGCAAGAAATAGGTGTAATCAGATGGTAAGAGCAGCCAAACGTAAACATATTTTTGAAAATATTTTACATTCATTCCGCGTTAACACCTGGAAATTCCTAAAATCCATTGGTATTGGTAAACCGCAAAGTTCATACAGTGTAACTTCTTCTTTCTCCTTAAACGAGCTGAATACTCACTTTGCCAAATCTGCAACTTTAGGCACCAACACCAAACAACAAAGTATTGCAATTATTAGAGCACTGCCCAAAATTTCAAACTCTGTTTTTATTTTCACCTCAGTAACTGAAGACGAGATCAGGAAAGTGGTTTTGTCAGTCAAATCTAATGCTGTTGGGCACGATGACGTAAGTAGAGTTATGGTAATGTATATTTTAGAATGTATACTCCCTATTATCAAGCACGTAGTTAATTTCTCGATGATGACTGGGGCTTTTCCTTCTCTGTGTCGAAATGCTCATGTAATCGCTGTTCCAAAAGTTACTAACCCCAGTCTACTCAAGCGGGAACGGGGAAGGAACGGTAATCGTTCCATCTCAATTCTTCCTTTTCTTTTTAAAGTCTTAGAGGCTGTCGTTCACAAGCAATTGTCTGTTTATGTTTACTCAAACAATCAGGTCATAGTACTTCTACTGCATTCCTAAAGATTGTTAAGGATGTAAGGAGGGACTTGGACTGTACCCTACTTACCGTGCCAGTCCTAATAGATTTCTTCAATGCATTCAACGTCGCGGATCATGACCTTCTCCTTGCCACCTTAGACCACCTAAACATCTCATCAACGGCAGCTGATTGGTTCGCGTCTTATCTCCGCGATCACCAACAAGCAATTCGTGTTGATCGCTCGCTCTCAGATTGGTGTAAACTCACGTCTGGGGTACCTCAGGGTGAAGTTCTGTTTCTCCTCTCTTGTTTTCTATTTTCATAAATTTGATTACGTCCAGCATCAAATGTTCTTACCACCTGTATGCCGATGACTTGCAGCTTTATACCGAGGTTAATGTCGGTGGCATCAGTGATGCAATTGTATTAATTAATGACGACCTTCATCGAGTCTCGGTATGGTCCCAAAGGTTTGGTATCAATGTCAACCCTTCCAAGTGTCAAGCCATCTTCCTTAGAAGCTCACGCCTTTTTTCGCCTTGTGATATGTCGTACGTGCCACCAATGAGTTTGAGAATGTAGTGATTCCTCTTTCAAATCAGGTAAAGAACCTGGGGCTTATTATTGACACAGGCCTTGCGTGGGATCCCCAGTTGTCTGACGTTTGTCGTAGGTTTACAGACACACTAAGACCTCTATACAGGTTTAAAAACTTTCTTCCCATTAAAACCAAAACTCTCCTTGTTCAAGCTCTAGTGTTGCCTGTGATTGATTATGCTGACGTGTGTTACAGTAACATCTCTCAAGTCTCTTTGAATTAATTAGATCATCTTCTTAACAACTGCATTAGTTTTATTTTTGGTTTGCGGAAGTATGACCACATCTTTGTTTTTCGTCGTCAACTAAATTCGCTTCCCATCCGTGAACGTAGGTCCTTAAGAATTTTAACCACTCTTTTCTCCATCTTGTTCGACCCGGCTGTACCTGGTTATCTCAAATGTTCATTTCAATTTCAAACCGCTCGGCCGGAATGCGAATTTCGATCTTCCCCCAGCCTTAAGCTCTCTATTCCTTCTCACCGCACTGACTTTTTTGTCTAATTCTTTTACCCTTCACGCCATCTGCCTTTGGAACGCGCTCCCGCTCCATATAAGATAAGCTCAGACCAAATTATCTTTGAAGCGCATGTTGCGCAAGCATCTGTTTGACAATTGTCAAAATCAAGACTCTGTATAATGTTGCTTTGGGTACATACATTATATTATTTGTTTTTATAATATATGTGTATATGTAGATTTATTATGTATGTATAATAAGTATGTTTATATTATGTTATTTATTTATATCATACAAATTATCGATTAGCTTTCTAGTATATTGTTCTTCTTGTTTATGTGTAACGCCAACCTATTGTGTTTTTGGTTTGGTTGACTGGTAGAGAATGCCTTATGGCATTAAGTCCGCCATTCAGTGTTTTGTACAATAAAGTTTAAATAAATAAACTTTCAATCTAATATACCGATGACATAATGTACATTTTATATAAATATTTCGGATATAACATTCACTCATTATAATGTATTATAAATATAATCCCAGTGTATTTAGTTGCAACGAAGAACGCAGCGAGGAGTATTAGGCTCGAAAACACATATTTCCCCTAGGTCCAATTAATTCAATTCAATACTGGTAATACTTATACCATTAGTTCAATAAGTTACCTAATCATTATCTAATGTTTGTTATACTGAAGGTTTATGTGTGTAACATTGAAATTGTACCTTTTGTTGTTATACCTATTATTGATTATATTCAGTGAGTGATTATATCCCTATAAATTATATCAAATGTTGTTATACCAAATGAAAATAGGTTAATTGTAAACCCTTCATCTCATACACACCATACTTACTATACACCCGCTCAATCCCACTCACCTTCTTCACACCTAATGACTTTCACTCACAGTACAACACGAGTTATTTATTAGTCTTAGAGTTTATCATCATTATTAAAAACTAGTATTACTTTAGTTAAAAATGTTATCTATATAAATTTCAATTCTCTCTAGCTGCAGTGGAAGCCTGGTAACCTTTAATACAGGTCTGATCATTTTGTTAAATTTTCGAGCGCCAGTCTCACACAAACCAGCGTGTCCTATTTTGCTATTGTATTCTAAGTCATATTCATGTTAAGCTTGGAAAAGAAAATACAATAATATTTCATTTACTTACTTATTGTTTTACTTTAAAAATCATAATTGTATTTCTTACCTGGTGAACAAAAGGTACAAATTATTAGCTGGGTTCCTTTGAATTTCTTGAAGTAGCTCGTAATCAGGTTCAGCTTCCAAGTCCACATCATGGAGATTGCCGTCTCCATCAGGAAACTGTATGTACCGAGGGTAGTCTTTACCCTCTACTGGTACCGCGCTAACGGCGTAGGCTATAATAAAGTAGTATAATGATATTTTATCTGCTTAAACTCTCTCGAGAATTGCCAAACAAAAGTACGTACTTAGAAATTAAAGTCAGCTAACAAACTACATGGATAAAAATCAAAATGTTGAGGATCGTAAAAGTATAACTAGAAAACAAAAATAACTTACCCGTCGCGACGACAAAAAGTAGTACCGCGATTTTCATCATGGTGGAGAAAACTGTTGAATATTTTGTCAACTTTCAACAAAACCTGCTTGTATACCATCTGTAATATCGTTTAAATAGCTACCTTTTATCTTTTAATATCATTTTAATACTAATTGATTTCATATCACCAAAAAAACGGTCTAGTGCAATTAAAACTCACACTCGAAGGTTCCGAACCTGGCATGCAACAACTTTCACGACCCATTCCCGAAATATCCTGCCTCCATGTTTAGTTAGTTTATTTCTCTCAACATTACACATTTCATACAAATACTATTACATGTAATTTTATACTACTCTTCGAAAAGTGAGCGTCAGTTTGCAAAATAATGAAGAAATAATTATACAAACAAATCAACATAATTAATGAAACTAATAAATAATTGAATTAAAATAACAATGTCAAGTGTATACAGGAAATGTCAATATGGATTCTTAATAACTAACAAATGTATATTACAGTATAATAATATGGTAAATGTCAAATTTATTAATAAATATAATAATTTAATTATTTATTAAGTACTAGTAAGTAAGTAGTTAAAAGGTTCTTCAGTCTGCACTTGAACGTTTCCTCACAACATTAGTTTTTTAGCTCGGCAGGTAGGTGCTCATAGTAGGTCGATCCTATAACCAGCGGGTTTTTTTCGTGAAGTGCACGACGGAAGCTCCCATCCATCACCTCCACTCGCCCAAACTGTGCTTCCTCGTGAACATAATGACCTCAAAAACATATCGCGAGTTGTGTCCCCTCTCAGCGTCTGTCGAATTGCCCCACAGAATAACACCATAAGTCATAATTGAGTGGAAGTGTGCAAAGTACTGCCTCAACCCGTTACAAGACACCAACAGTTTTAGTTTACGCCAAACGCAAACACCGCACCACTCAGCTTGTCACATAGCGAGTCTACATGCTGTTTCCAATTCAAGGTATGAGCATGGGCGAACGGTTACCGGTTGCTGCTGCTGGCGGTTTACGCAAAGGACCCAGGTTCGAATCCCGGGCCGGGAGAAATATTTATATGGCCTACATTTATTTCTCTCGTGAGTTTGGGTGTAATTTGTGGTTGTCTATGTGTGTTTACATGGCACTCGCGACACAGGTTTTCCCTAGTGCGGGGCTATGTTGAGTGTGTGCGTTAAAAAAAAGAAAAAAAA